CGCATACTTTATAAAACATAAATTGTCCTAATGTTCTGATAGATAAACAAATTAAATAAAATTAATTAAATGAAATATATTTAATGATATAGGCATATTTGCTACCATCAACCGTAACACATAACTTGAAATAAAAGTAGGGTAGGTACTTCAAAAGAACTGTAGAAGTACAGATATAATAGTTCTGCTACTTGCTGGAGTGTTTTTTGCTGATGCAGAGAAATATGGGTATATAGAATGACTAGGAAATAGGTGTGATATTGAAATTCCAAAAGAGGAAATATGTTATAAAGATATCCTGTTTTCTTTCCTCTATTTCTTATGTAAACCCGGATTTAAACTTTCAAAACATTTCTACAATGTGTATTTAGGCTTCACCAGTACTGTATTGCGAATAACGCTTGTGTATCATCGGCACACCTTTTTAGTGTAACCTTACAACTTGTAACGACTAGATAATAATTAATTGATATAGCGAAAACACAAAATAAAAATTTAAAAAAAAATATGTTCTCTCTCTTATAAAGTATAATGAAAATAACCTGATGGATAAAATTCAATAGAAAAACTAGAAAGAACAATGCATCGAAAAAATGGGGGGAAATAGTCTGGGGAATAAATCTCTAGGTAGAAAAAAATCTGTGGGGAAAATTAACAGGTGGCAAGTAGCCAAGGCCATAGTGCTATATTCTGTAAAGTAAAGCCTCAAACAACATCGATTTTGAGTCTACTAAGTTTAAAAATCTTCCCAGGCTTTTCCAATATACAGTTGAGGGGAGGGGGCTAATTCGTAAAATTTGGTGATTTTAGGTGTTTTTTAACTACTTGAATGTGATTTGGGGGGCAACTAGGGGGTACAAATAATTTTTTGGGGGTGGGGACATGATGCATGTCAAAATATATCAATATATAAATACACAAACACAATATAATTTACCTTTATTATTGTTGAATTCAGTCATTGTTTATTTTCAGTAAATTCTTGAAACATGGAAAACACAATTCAGTTCCAAGAAGTAGTGCAGAAAGCCTTTGGTAAATACTATGACCATAGTAACTACCCGACAACAGTGGCCAGTGAGCTTTTGCAAGTCCTTTCCACAAAATATGAAAACAATCTGACATTATTCAAAGAAGAATTTGTGAAACCTACACAAAAATTGCTGGAAACTCTTAAGGTAAATTTGTTTATTCTAAAACCATTTACCAGTAATTAATAATCTTTAAAGTTAGCTGAACCCTCCTCCCAAAGTGTAGTTTTCACTGCCAAGAGTGAAATATGTGTTTGTGTGTGTGTGTGTGTGTGTGTGGGTGGGGGGTGGGGGGAAGTGGTTGCAGAGAAATGTGATAGCCTTTGTCCCTCGGGCAGATCTATCTTGATTTGTAAAAATAAAATAAAATTGGAGGCCCATAGGAGCAAATAGTATTGGTCCGGCTAAGGAGAATAAATTCCCACCCCCACAGCGCCAGATGATGGTCGTAGGATTCAGGGCTGAGGTGAGCAGACATTTTGAAAAAAGTACCTGATGCCTGGAAATTGCACTCTACTGTGAAGTAGATTTTTCTACTATTTTCCTACGAGGGTCCCTCCCTTGAATATTTATTGTATGTGAAATAGGCCTCCAGTGTATTTTTTTGCAAAATTGTAGAAAAGTATATTGATGTTCTAAGAAATCTTATTGTTCATAAGCCTTGTAACTGCTGTGAGACCTCTTCCCCTCCTATCCAACTCCCACTTGCTCTATCCAGGAAGGAGAGGGATATGTTATACCAGTGTCCGCCTTAAATCTCCTACCCACCTTAGGCCAAACCATAGTAGCAACTTTTGTAATTAGACACCTAGATGCCCGAAAATGTCAGTCTGAGACTCTTCGTTTTGCATATGATATGAATTGAAGTTGCTGTTATTAATTGACTGAATAGTCGTAGCAGGGTCACCAACGAGCAGTTTAACATCATGACCCTCCCATTTATATTCCTGGGTGAAGAGAGGCAAATGTAAGTAGGCACAGTCCAGGAACTCCCTGACGAGGGGTCCAAGCTCCTAGACAACGGGTCCACGCCCCCACCCCCTCCCTTTGGGAAGCCTAGCCTCCCCCCAACATTAAATTTGTCGAAAGGTGTAAAAATGGGCAGTTACGCCCCTTTTTCCCTCAGTATTTAAATATTAAAAAATGTGTATCTCATTCACTGTTCTCCAGTTTTTCGTCAAACAACTTTTTTCTGTCTTAGAAAAATCAGTTCTACAACATATCAAAAATTTGTTTTCCTCCAGAGCCTGACTTTAACCAAAAGATGATGAAAGACACCAAAAAAGTCCTTCACTACAAATCATTGGCCGTTGGTGGCAACATTCGAATTGAAAATGGCTGCTTGTTTATTGCACCGCGAAGCAAGCAGGCGGCAAATACATTGAATAATAACGATCAAATCAATCAAATTATGCCTAAATCGGAGTATTTTTGGGAAGAGGGGGGTGGCCTGTGAAATCGGGTGAAAATAACATTCGATCGGGAAAATTGGAGATTTGTTTAAATATCGGGTGACACCCAACAGGATCGGGTGAGCTGGCATGTCTGCTTTTAATATGCCTATTGATCATCGGTTTCGTGGTACATCTTTTATAAAAGGTTTTTATTTGTGATTTTGTGATGTAATGAAAATTTGATTCCTATTATTCTTCTTAGTTGTTTTCTGTGAAATGTGTCTAGCTTTTTTCTCTTCTTCTTTTGTAAATCCCTATGTGCTGGGATTGTACATCAGTATAGGTTTTACATATAAGTTATATAGTTTGATTTCCACATGTTTTCATTGACTTTTTCTTTACATATCCATATTGTTGTCATCTTGTTCAGTGCCTCATGCTAGTTGTTTTCTTCTTTTTATATTTTCTATACCACCAAGTAGCGATCCTAATTTTTTGGTTTTCCTTCATTTTTCATTTTCTCCCCTTTTTATAGAAGTAAATTCAGTTTTCTGTTTGTTTACTTTTATATTAAAGAAGTGCTCCTCTATTTCGTTAACGTTTTCCAATTGTTGTACACTAATGAAATCAACATCGTCTGCATAAGACATCGTTTTCATTATCCTTCCTGAGCCCCCGCAGGGTGTGTCCCAGGTATATGTTCGAGGATTATTAGCAAGCTAATAATCCAATCAAGCCTGGGACTGTGTTTCACATAATTTGAGCTGCGGAGTGGATTCATGTTGCAGCTGAGAAGTCCCAAAATAAGGCGCTTCTACTAGATTTAACTGTTTGAATGCATGTTTATTCTTCAATACAATACGTTTATTCATATCAATACAATGACTGTGGCTCTGTAGATTATGGCTGTGTACAACATACACCCGTGTGTGTGTGTGTGGTTCACTGTAAACCAACAGTAAAAAACATATAAAAATCAACAGCAAATAATGAGCTCTGTAATATTCTTTAACATAACATTTATTAACTCATTAATCAAAGAACATTTGAATGTACTGTAAAGTAAATTCTCTCCCTGATGTTGTCTCATGTAAGTACATAATGTATGCTAGATGACACTACTCTTTCTTGCAGCTCCTCTGATCCTGTAACACTTCAAAATAATTTAAATACTAATTTTAATTAAATAGTTAAGTGGTTGAATAAAAACCATATTACAAAAAAAACTAAAGTCATGGTTGTTGGTACTAATCGCATATTAAAGAAAGACCTTTGAATTGTACATAATGGGGACTGCATTGAAAGAGTAGATTCATTCAGATAATTGGTTATTATTTATGATCCTCAATTAACATGGAAGGATCAAATAAATTGTATTTCGACACATGTATCTAAACGAATTGGTGTATACATCGTAATAAAATATTATTTACCTCTTCATACCCTTACTATGCTGGCAAATGCACTTGTAATACCTGTTTTTGATTATTGCAGTTCAGTCTGGTCGAACTGTAGTACACAAAACTTAAATTCACTTCAAATTTTACTAAACAGATTAGGTAGAGTCTGCTATCTGTAGATTTAAAAACTCCAATAAGTGATATATTAGATAAATTAAGCTGGAAACCACTAAATGAAAGATGGAGAGAACATTTACTTGTAGTTGTATTTAAGTGTTTACGTGGTTATGCACCATCACATTTACCTTTCAATACCGATCAGCCATACTTTAAAATAATCTACTAAATGAAATCAGAAACTATAAATGTGACCATAGTCAATTTCAAAAATACCATATGTGCTAATTTAGTTTAAATTAAATTTTATTATAAGGTATTTGCAATTTGAACTTTTTGTCATTTTTCGTGTCATAATTTATTTTGGTTTTGCTTTTTTCTTTTCTCTTTTATTTTTGATACTTTTGTGTTCTGTTTAATATTTTACTTCTGTTAATATTCTTAAATTTTTAAAGAAAACTGGCCCATTTTGAAAAGCAGTACTGCGCTTAAATGCTATCCAGTCGAAAGAAAGGATAAGTAAATAAAAATAAATTTACCAACTGTTTATCTTCTAGTTCCTGAACAACTTGTTACCAATCATTGTTCTATTCATTATTAGCATTATTCAGCATTATTCCGTTTCATTCTGCATAGATAGTTAACACTACACTCTAGATTTATCACTACGCATAGCTCCACTATAAGCAATATCTTTAACGTCATTATAACTACTTTCAAAACTAAGGGCGTACTAGCCTAAAACGTTAAATGCCATATGCCATTACACACGTTTTCTTCTTATGTCAATTTCAAAATGAGGATTTTTTTATTTTTTTTTTACAAAACCAAAGGTGCTAATCATAGATTAAACCACCTCTTGCCTATTGTACCTGACCGCGGGTATAATTTAATAAGAAAAATAATCTGTCTCTCCCCAAGGTTAGGACTGAGCAGTCCAAAAAATTTATTATTAATGCTGGGCTCTTTCTTGGATGGTAAACGATAAGATGTTTTTATGAGCATATGATATGTATTGGAATTATATCTGTCTGCTATTTTTTTAACTTAAATGATGTTAACAATTACTCTGATAATGTTTATGATTGTTATATCCAAATGTTATTGTTGTTATTATTTTTGTGGTTTTTATGTCCTAGTTGGTTGATATGATTACTGTTATTGTATTGATCATGTTATTGTCATTATTATGGTGATGAATGATGGTTATAATGACAATTACTGTAGCTGTAGTGAAGATAGAAATAGTATTGATGGCAATAATGGTGATGGAAACTGTTATAATGATTATGGTACTAATATTGTTCATGATGATAATGATCTCAGTAATGATGATAACCATAGTAATAATGATTATAGTAATACTGATGATAATAATAATAATAATAATATATATATTGAAGCTTGCGGTACACCACGTAAGTAGTTCTGAAAAGAACTGTTGTTGTTGAGAAAGTCTGGACGTTTCGATTGAGATGCTTCAATTGTCTTCAGGAGAATAATGTCTATATTATATAATAATAATAATAATAATAATAATAACAATAACACGCCATGCTTAAAATATTGGAACCACGCTTCAAAAAAATATTAATGCAAATGCAAGGTCAATAAAGAGACTTAGCGTGTCAAAAAATAATAATATTAAAAAAGTATAAATATTAAAAGTAATATTAAATATTGTCCCACAGAAATAAATACTGTCACATAACACCTCCCCCCTAAACAGAAAAGCTTGAGGCGACAAACATTTTTTGTACACAAAAGTAAACAGTGTGACTACAGTACATATCAATATTATTAATCCGAAATATGTGAAAAATCGAATATTGTTATAGTGACTGCATTAAACTTTCAAAACAATCTGATAGTACTACGTTGAAAACAAACTGAATGAATATACTTGTACAATGGAGCTTTTATTTAGTATCTGTATATAATTGAAGAAGAAATATGTGGTAGACACCATTAAAAATAATCACTGATGCCTAGTTGTTGTTGTCAAGTGCAAGTGGATTTGAATAATTATTCATTCATTAAACAACATTTATTTCCATAAATGTTGAACAATATTTATAGTAAATCATTATTATAACAAGAATATATGTAAATAAATTAATAATATGAAAAACGATTAACTAGGATCTTTAATGGCAGATAAAAATATCTTTTCATGTAGGATACTCACAGAAAAAACATAATTTAAATAAAAATATTAAAAAGGCATATTATACGCCATGTTTAAAATATTGGAACCACGCTTCAAAAAAATATTAATGCAAATGCAAGGTCAATAAAGAGACTTAGCGTGTCAAAAAAGCTTCAAAAAAATATTAATGCAAATGCAAGGTCAACAAAGAGACTTAGCGTGTCACTTGCTATGTACTAAAACAGCAATTTGTTTGTATCCACCCTTTAGAATTTTGTGCACCACCCTTACAATTTTGAGGACATTTTCTGAAATTTCACCATTCTTTAAAAATCCTGGTGAAAGTTTTGCCATGGGGAACATAAGACAATGAAGAGGGTGAAAACAGTTCCATAATAAAAATACTGTTTCTAAAGGTAAAATTTGACAATGTTAAGGAGAACCTCAGACGACAAAAGAATTCCCCTTAAAATATGTTTTAAATGTAGTAGTATCCGATGACAAGCAATCAAGAAAAAACTAAACTGGAACAACTCGCTCGACACAAAATGTTTAGTGTATCATACAAACGTTTAAATACCTGCCTTTGACCACAAGCAATCAAAAAAGGACTAGACAAGAACGGCTCGCTCAACACGAAAATTTTAGTTTATTATTAGTTTATTTACAAACATTCAAATACCATCTGACCGCAAGCAATCAAGGAAAGACTAGACAAGAACCAACCCGCGTGACACGAAAAGTTTAGTGTATTATACAAATGTTGAGACCGCTACACAACGGCCTTTGCTTCGAGATTTAAGCATGAAGGCAAGGCAAAAGCAGCTTTCTTAGCTACGTTTTTTGTCTGCTGATCGATTAAAAAACGTATTTCATTTTTATTTTATCACTGAAAAACAACTACTGTAAAATGTTTAGCCCATAAATATGACGTGTGCGAAGAAAACAATATTTTAATTTGGACCTTCAAAAAGCAGTTAAAAAGAAATGTCTATGAAATTTTAGGGGGGGGGGGCTAAAGACTGTTTAGCCCCCTCTAAATCCGCCCCTGTTATAACTACGCATAGCTCCACTATAAACAATATCGTTAACGTCATTATAACTACTTTCAAAACTAAGGGCGTACTAGCCTAAAAAGTTATGCCATTACACACGTTTTCTTCTTATGTCAATTTCAAAATGAGGATTTTTTTTAATTTTTTTAACCAAAGGTGCTAATCATAGATTAAACCACCTCTTGCCTATTATACCTGACCGCGGGTATAATTCAATAAGAAAAATAATCTGTCTCTCCCCAAGGTTAGGACTGAGCAGTCCAAAAAATTTATTATGAATGCTGGGCTCTTTCTTGGATGGTAAAAGATAAGATGTTTTTATGATCATATGATATGTATTGGAATTATACCTGTCTGCTATTTTTTTAACTTAAATGATGTTAAGTTCTTTTCAGAACTACTTACGTAGTGTACCGCAAGCTTCAACATATAATAATAGTAATAACAACAACAATAACAATAATAATAATAACAATAATAATAATAATAATAATAATAATAATAAATAATAATAATAATAATATGACCACTTTGAACTAATTTGTGCAATACTTTGCCTGCCGAGTAGTAGTTTGCTGTTTGGTTTAAAAAAAAAAAAAAAAATTTTCTAATGTTAATGTTAATGTTAATAACAATAGAATTATTTATTATTTTTTAATGATAATTAATTGATTATTGAGTATTGAAAAGAATATAATGAATTCAATGTTATTAATAATTTGAATATTTATAAATTGTAATGATAATTCTTGTAATATATTTAATTATTGTAATGAAAAGAAATTAATGAATTTATATGTTTAATAATTTTTAATAGTTATGAATTTTAATGATTTTTATTGTGATTTATTTAAGTGTTTGCCTGTCTCTGATGCTTTGTTTTAACTGGTTGTTTTAACCCCTAGTGATTTTAGTGTCTTTTATCCCTTTTATTGTTATTGTATCCGTTTGGTTGTCCTCCACTTTTCCCCTTTTGATGTTCAACTTCAATTTGTTCTGTATTTTATTCAAATTGCAATAAAGTATTATTGTATCGTATCGTAGGATATTTCTCCTGGACAACAGATGGATGGGAGCTCCATCAAGAAGTCAAGCAATCTAGAAGTCCCAATTTTTTAAAATAAAAAACTCATTTTGGGAGTAGAGGACTCCCCTCCCATACCCAACCCCTCCCATACCCAACCCCTCCCATACCCCGGATTCGGCCCTCGGATAACGCCTGTCTCTTATACACATCTAGATGTGTATAAGAGACAGTATATATATATTGTATTTGGGGTTTGGTCACCAATTAGAGGGTTAGGTGTGTTAAAAGATTTATTATTTTCATTTGGTTTAGACAAAGTGGTCTCGAATTTCAGACCCCTCTATTAAATTTGAGACAAATTTTTTTCAGAATCATATAAAAATTATCAATCTTATAAAACAAACTAACCCTCTAGGCTAATTGGTGACTTGCCACACCCCAAGTTACAAGTCCCAGAAGTAACCTCAAATTGGAAGGCAGACTCTATTTAAAATTATGCAATGAAATGTAATTTGCTTGTTTCTTGATTGTACATGTCAGGTAGGTGCAAATTGATGCATTAAAGTTTCAGAAATTTCCATGAAGTATAATTTCTCTTCAGAAAGTACAAAAAGTTGAATTCTTTTTTCTACTGCTTGGTAGTCAATTTCATGTATTACTTTTAAAATATCCTTTTTGTGTGTGGGTGTGGTTGTGGGTGTGTGTGTTGAGTCAGGCCATACTGTAATTTTGGTATAAAAAACTACATTAAAAGGACAATTTTGACAAACGATCTTGGTGAATTATTGGCCTGGCCAAAACCGGACCAGCAGGACCACTTCATATGGCCTTGAATTGTAATCTTGTTCTTTCAGCAAAATAAGATGCATTTGTATACTAAGCAAGACCAGAAAGTGAAGATCATAGTTCATCTTGCACTTTCAGTGGAAGTTCAAACTGGAGAGTTTTTTTTCTCTGTAAGTCAATACAATTGTGAAAATGTGTCTAAATACAGTATAGTAGAAGAAACAAGGATGTGAGCATCATATGGCCGCAACTCCAAATCTAAATTAAATTAGGAATTTTTTTTACCAAACAAAAGAATGGATCTTTCACATCTTTTAATAATTCCTAAAATGTAATTAATTTATCTAATATTCAGTTTCAACCAGGGTTAGGGTGATGACAATGATTGCAAGCTAACTAACAACACCAATTTGTCAGACAGCTGCTTTCCAACTATGTTACTTTCATTTTGCAGGTTGGCCACACAAACCCAGGAACATTGACTGTAAAGTTCTGTAAGTATGTCACACAATTAGATGATGGGATAAATCTAGCTGAACCTAAGTACACCACAGTAAAAATGACAGTTGACAAGAATTCTCTCAACGAATGTCTGACACTGGACTACTTCAAAGATCTGCGCGAAAATGGAGAAAAAATGGGAACCGAGAGAACGTCTGTGATGTTCCGGTTGTGTTGGGTGAAGGTACTTGATCAAAATGTGGTTGGGGGATTTTTGAAGATATATGATGCAAAAAAAATACTTTCACATAGAAAACAGAAGGTGAGTGCCACAGTAGTCACTATATTTTATACTAGTGGTTCTCAGCTATTTTTCATTTGCAAACCCTTCAGGACATGTTAAAAATCTTTATGTACCACCCCCACATGCGAGTGTTCTTGGTTTCCCCTAGACCTCTTGTTTTCATTTAAAAAAATCCAAGGTATGCTTGCTTGGCATTTGTCTTCTATAAATGTTTCAGCATGTTTAATTTTGAGGACCTCCTAAATTTCCATGGACCCCCTGCAAAACCTCTTTGACTTTATGATGATAATAATGAGACTAATCTTTATGAAATTGCATTATTTATGTCCAATCCCCACCCCTCCGTTATACAATATTTATAGCATATATACATGAAGTATTGAAAATGATCCATCCAGTTGGTGTATAATGTATTATTACAAGTACTATAAAGTGCCTCAGACTCTACTATAAATGTACTTAGCATTGTATATGTTTGATGATTTCAGAAGTTAGTGAAAAGTATTTCTTCACCAGTGCCAATACAACAAGCCAACATCCAGGTATTTTTAAAATGTACAGTACCTCTCATTAATGGAAAAATACAAATGAAAATAACATTAGCATAAACAATAAAATAAAGAAAAGAATTTATGGACCAATGAAAGGAGCAATCTGGTTAATTTAGCACTTCTTATGCTGCTGTTCAATCAGTAAAGCCCACCACATAAGAGTAAACAATTTGACCATAAATGACCATGAATAATTGTCTGCAAATGTGTTCGGCTTTGCAAACAGCCACAGATTATATTTTGCAAAGTTGTTTTTGTTGACTGACATTTGGTAAAGTTTTTACCTTGTCAGGTGCACTTGCAGATTATGCAAGCATTTGTGCTATATAAATAAAGTATTATATTATTGGAACTTTTTTGAGGCATGGAGAAAAAGTTTTAATACATTTCCTCCATGGTTGAGTTATCGCCACCAAATTATCATACAGTATTTATTTTCTTAGCCATTTCATAAACCACAACAAGTATCTGACGATGCTAGTCTTATAAGCCATCATCCTATGGAAGAAGGACTTCATCCACCATCAAAAATCACTAGACAACAAGCGTATGATTCTTCAGATCCAGTGGTATCAAAAGAGCCTGAGATGGAATGGCAGGAAGATCCAACTGGAATGGGAGGAGGTGGATATGTCCCTTCCACATCTGATAATTTAAATTTGCCGACAGATCTTCAAATAGCTTCAAATAAACCAGTAGCATCTAAACCTCCAGTGAATGAATGGAAGTCCCAAAACATTGATTCAAGGTCTGGAGACAGTTTTGGTTGCAGTTCTCTCAGTCCAACTGCCTCTGGTAACATACATGTCAGTACAGTTTTTGTAAGCAGTGGTCCTGAGGCACTTTGTCTAATTGATAGTTTGAAGATTTCAGCTCACAATGACAACAATGAATATGGCCGACAAGGAATTGAGAGTGGTGGAACAGGTTTAGCCCCAAGCAATACATCTGCAAAGGATGTCAGTAATGGTTATGTTAGAGAATTTGAGGGTATTGGTCCAACAGGAACACCTGGGGTTCATTTGATGGCAGAAGGAAATAACCCTCAGCCAGCAAACAATGTCAGTAGTGATAAACCTGCTTCAAGCAAACCATCTGGGGCGAGCTTGTCAGATGGGGGAACAAAAGAGAAGCCTGCCAATGATGTGGATGATGGATATGTTGAAAGAATCAAGGGTATGGACCCAAGTAGCACCTCCAGTTCTATGGCACAGGCAGCTGAGAAAAACGGTGGACTTGCAAAGGAAGTTAATGATGGGTATGTTTCAGAAGATAAAGCCACTGACCCAAAGTGATTGTCGATCCTCCAAAGAATCCTATGTCTTCACCAAATACTTATTAAATTTTTTCTAATCCAACTTTTATTCTATCATATTTTAATGTATTCACAAATTGAATGTCTGAATGCAGTGAATGATGCTCTTTTTCCAGATAAATATAAATTATTGTAAATTAAAAGGTGTTAATGGTAATAGTTTTTTGTAGCAATACAATTTTTTTTTTGTGACATTTGTAAAATTTGTATGTCAACTATGAACTGTACCTGTCAAGAAATGTAAATACTTGTACAAATTTATTAAATTTCTTCACTAAACTTACAATCTAGTATACAAGCTAGCATTTACTTCAAGTATTATGTCTCAAATGCAACAATATTGGCATAATTCTTGCCAAATTTTAAGTTTTTTTCTATAATGTTAGGGTTTCAATGGTATAAAAATAGTTTTGCCAAAAAGTTAAAAGTGTCTTGACATTTTTAGTTGACTAATATGACTTAAATTGTTTCCTATAGATTATTAAGGAACTGTTCGGCCACTTGACTCGCACAAGTAAATATGCACTAAATAGTGTGGAATAATAAAAACACTGCCACTAATACTATTTTACAAAACACCTGGTTTATTTTAGAGAATCGTTTTAAATCATAGAGAAGGAGATATATGTAGATGTATGTGGGTGACGTATCGATTAAAATACATCATTGTAGTATTGTGGCATACTGTAACTTAAGAGATCAAAAAAAAATTATTGGTAAAGAAAAGGATTAATAAGCCTATTGTGAGCATTGACATTTATTATAATTTACTTGTCACTTTTAGAATGTGAATTTTTCTTTTTTATGGAATGAATTTTCTCATTGTTCTTCTATTTATATTTAATTAATTATAATTTCTTATGTAATATTAATTTTATAATGCTATGTTTGAAACGTTTTCTGTATGCGATGTTTTAGATATGATATACTGAAAAACAAAAACAAAGAAAAAAAAAACATCCTAGGTTGACATTGTTGTGGTGATCAAAACTACAGTATTAGTTATATTTATTCTTATTTGTATAATAATCACTATTAATATTAATATTGACAAATTATATTAGTTGTTTCCATTCTGTAGTGGTGGGCCACCCACTGTTGAATGCGAATTAAATAAAATAAAATAAAAAAATAATATATTATTACGAATATATTTTACAAATAATATCAACTTACTACAGGGCAAGATACAAGCACCTTCTTACAGTTTACAAAAACATAAAACAATTTTTCATTCCAATACAGACACCTTGTTGTAGTAACTATTATAATTTATAGATTATGATTAGGCCACAATATTAGAATCATGACCTATCTCTATTTTTCTACAGTTACATTTTGGCTATCTTTCTTTCTTTTTATTATTTATCCTGGGGGACTGCTCAGGGATAAAATCCCTGGTCCTCCGCAGATCCCAGCAAAGAAAATAACATAATCAGATGAATTTCATTAAAACAGAAAAACATCAAACACAAGCAAGGTATTAAAGCAAGCAAGCAACGAAGCTCACACAAAGATAATAACACAATGCCAAGCAATTTCACCCAGTGTCAAAAACAGTACTTTCTCTTTTATTTTTTTTTTTTAGAAAAATTCTGAAATTGCCATCTTCAAATACATTATTCTAATGTGTATATATAGCTAAATCTGTCTCAGGGCTAAGAGCCTCTTAACACCAAATTTAAAAATGCCAGTGTTAGTTGCATGTTTTAGTGAAATATCTAAAGAATTCCACATCTTGACTGCAGATCATCTTACCATATTTTTACCCACTTCCATGTCATATTTATATGTATAGATGTTATTGATGTAAAAAGTAAGTTACATAAAAAAAACAAGTTGATATGAAATAACCGTAGTGGTGCCAGTAGCGTATCTAGAAGTGTTGACATGCTACTTCAGTGTAAATTTCATTTTCCATTTTTTGTTTATAGTTGTGTAATTATGTCGATAAATTATAATGTTGTGATGTTTTTGTACTTACTTATTCACTGCTGGTACTGATGTGTTTGTTGTCAGGGCTTTTTGTGTGGACTTAATTATAGTATTATTTGTGTTGCTGCCTGCAGCCACTAGGAAAATTGTATTTACACTATTGACTACAATGTACTATAATATACATATAAGTTTTTAGATTAAGATGTGGTAAGTTATATGTTAAGTTGTTTATGTTGGCTCAACATATAACTATGTTTATTATAATTTTGATTTGAACTGTATTTTAATTTTAGTTTAAGCACCCTACAGACACAAATCTGAAGTGTACAATACTTTAAGTGGCTATAGTCAGTTTTGTTTATGTATTTAGATTTTTACAGTAACTAACATAGATTGTGTAGGCCTATCTGTTATTTAGCTTAAGTATCCAATTCAATTTTAATGTATTCACAAATTGAATGTCCGAATGCAGTGAATGATGCTCTTTTTCCAGATAAATATAAATTATTGTAAATTAAAAGGTGTTAATGGTAATAGTTTTTTTGTATGTCAACTATGAACTGTACCTGTCAAGAAATGTAAATACTTGTACAAATTTATTAAATTTCTTCACTAAACTTACAATTTAGTATACAAGCCAGCATTTACTTCAAGTATTATGTCTCAAATGCAACAATATTGGCATAATTCTTGCCAAATTTTAAGTTTTTTTCTATAATGTTAGTGTTTCAATGGTATAAAAATAGTTTTGCCAAAAAGTTAAAAGTGTCTGACATTTTTAGTCGACTAATATGACTTAAATTGTTTCCTATAGATTATTAAGGAACTGTTCGGCCACTCGACTCGCACAAGTAAATACGTCCTAGGTGTATGTATGAATGTATATATATATATATATATACATTCTATAGTCAGGTTTTGTTTATGTATTTAGATTTTTACAGTAACTAACATAGACTGTGTAGGCCTATCTGTTATTTAGCTTAAGTATCCAATTCAATAAACTCAATACAGTAGTTTAATAAAGTTGTTCTAATTTAATTTAATTTTATTGTGTTGCAGATTAGTACAGTTACCATCTACATTCATCAGGCTCAAAATCAGATTTATTGTTAATTTTTTTTTTCTTCTTTATTCAATTTCTTTTAAATGACAAACAGATGAAAAAAGGAAGCAAAAGGACAGGTTCCACAGACTCAATGTCCAAACAAAGGGAAAATACCCAGGACATAAAACATCAAGACATCAGAAATACATATAAAAATCTCATATATGCTCTTGTAACAAAATTCTACAGTACTGAAAATATAGTGTCACTGACCTGTGTCATATATAATTCTGTTATATTATGGTAAGACCCAACAACCTTGGTAATATTTTATTCAATAAAGAGCTTGCTCCAACCTCCCTTGAAACTAATGATACAATATTCATCAGTGAAAACAATTTTAACAAACAATTTGCAAGTCGTAATAATTATTTGTAACTTTATGTCGGGGTTATGGGACTGAATGTACTTAATTGTGTAATGTCTTGCTAAGCCAAACCTAAGAACAGTATTTATATGGTATTGAATCATCCCAAATTGCTTGAACAATATGATTATTATAGAAAGGTTGATAAATGGAAAGCCAAATTTGGAAACTGTAGACTTTCCTAAAACTAAACTGAAAGTGTTTTAGAAAATGCTAACAGAGAGTTAAATAAATAACAAACTGATACTGTTGCAATGGTTTGGCGCAGCGGCTGCGTTCTGCTTCTCAACCTTAAGGTAGGAGGTTCAATCCCTCGCTGTGCATTTCACTTTCGTCCTTAGGCACACTTTCCCTATGGTTGTCGCTCTCCACCCAGGAGTACAAGTGGGTACCTATTAGGCTCAAAATGCACTGATCTGCAACAAACATTATGGAATTCTCCCCAGGGAGTTGAGTATGTGTTCTATATGTGCCTGATCCAATGACGGGGTAATAATGTGAAGCGCTTAGAGGCCTTGTTGGCATTAAGCATTATAGAAGTGTACCAACCATAACAGCACTGAATTTTCCTCCAACAACTCGAGATAAAAAAACTGATTGCCTCATTTTCAAAGGTGTTTAGCTAGTACAGTTAATGCAGTCTTCAGTCACTCATCAGTCCAGAAATGACAATTGACATCTAGCTCTTCTTTATCATCATTACATCTTCATTGGACAAAACATTGCTTAAAATGTAATCATCCACTGTTTGATTCTGCTGTGAGTAATTCCATCACTTTTGCTACTGTTAATGAATCAGATTCAAGTCTGATGACCTTTAGCCTGGACTTTGACCCCTTTTGGATAAGAAAATAAATTTTTTTTCTAACATCAGAGAATGTGAGCTGCGTTAACCTATACAGTGTAATAATTATTTCAAAAATTAGTGTCAACTAATATCTTTATTAGAGTATTGGTTCTATAATACTTAACCAATCTGTTGACTTAAAATTGTTAGTACGTTTCTAGAGTGTCAATAAAAAACAGAACAGATCCTGAAATATGCGTATGTTTTTAGATCTTGTTACTCTATTATGAAAATCAAGACACTTAAAAAAAAAAAGTTTAGGGATCCAATTACTTCTTAAATACTAGAGCAGAACCCTCTAAATCTCCATTTACTGAGACACAAAGTTCCATTCTACGCACTTCTTCAGGTAAAAAAAGAAACATCAAATTAAATACTTACTCTTTCAAGCAATACACTGCCTTTTCTGAGCCCAAGTACCTTTGCTATAAAGCTAACCAGTTCTGTGTTTGCCTCTCCTTCTTTTGGTGGTGCAGCAACCTGAA